TTCTACAATCTGACCACAACCAGCTCCGCTCTCGTTACGTCACACTGCGCCTTGGGTTGTAATTATTGGGCCAGTGGGCGTAGTGAGAGTATTCGTGTACCGCCACGGCCGCCCACAAGCACGCGCGCAACCGCGCCGCCGCACATACAGCACGCCGTGCGCGGCATGCACACACGAACACGCCGCCCCACCACCGCGTGCACAACACCAAGGGCGTAGCTTACGGGGCCTCGGGCCCACGTGGCCCCGCCCCAAATCTCTGTGCCTCCAGGTGCCCCCCACTGAACATTCCCAATGCTTGTTGTTACGGTTAGTTGGGGTCGAACCAACGATCTCAGAAAATTATATATTGTGCCCCCCCCCGCCGAAAAATGTAAGGCTGCAACCCAGTGCCCCCTCTGCTGAAAAAAACTCCTAGGCTACGGGCCACCTGGCAACACACACGCACGAAGCCGACGCCGACCCCACCGCACCACCCCCGCGCGCGCACACCACACCACACGCCACGCGCGCACACAGCACAGCCACCGCACGCGCACGATACACACACGCGCGCACGCACGCGCACACTGCACGCAATGCACGCGCGCGCAACGACAGCGACACGCACACGCGCTACAAACACAGCCTCGCACGCGCGCGGCACACACACGCACTGCGCTCGCGACACCACACGCCACCGCGCGGCACTACACACACACACACACACACAAAAGCGCGCACACGACAACACCACTGCGCGCACAGGTGCCACACGCACGTGCGCGCCACACACACACCGGGCTCACGAGTCGCGCGCTACACACACGCACGCGCACAACACACGCACGCGCGGCTGCACCACACATCCCACAAGCGCACGCGCGCACACCATGCACGCATCGCGGCGGCTACTACACACGCACGCGCGCACACACGCACGCGCGCACACACGCACGCGCGCACACACGCACGCGCGCACACACGCACGCGCGCACACACGCACGCGCGCACACACACGCACGCGCACCAGTGGGCCCGACAGCCTACGGCTAACGGCACTTACATATACTAATCGACCGCTTTTATGGCAAAAAATCTTGCCACTGGTGCGTTAATTGCCCGGGGGGAGGGGCACTCGCCTCGGAACTGGGTAGGTGGTGCCTCCGGGACCTTGAAAACCTGACCCTGTCGCAAACCGCTTTGCGCCCTAAAATAGACCCTTTCCCAATATACTGCACTAAAAAGTATACCCTGTTGCAATATTGCACATTTCGGTTATGTCCTGTCCTGTCAATATAGGCAGATATTGGTCTAATATCGGCCCCATATTGTTTTGCCAATATTGGACCAATATCTGCCTATATTGAACAAATATATGCCTATATTGGTCCAATATTGGCCTGGTGATATTGGGCCAATATTGTTTTGCCAATATTGGTCCAATATCAGCTGGCTGGGTGTGTATCTAGATAACCCTGTACCAATAATGATGTTCGGAAAATATACCCTGTGCCAATAATGATGTTCGGAAAATATA